GGCATGGGGGCGCGTTTGGGGACCCCCCGGGGGGCCGGAGGGCAGGCGACGCCCGGGGACACGCCCCGTTCCCGGCACGGAGGCCTTGCTCAGCCCGGGAGGAACCCGCTGCTCCCCTTAGCTGCCAGTTATTTCCGTACCTTCTAAAGCACAGATCTGCCGTGAAAATGGGGGGTTTGGGGGACGGCAGGCCCAGAGTTTGCTCCCTTCGGCTTCAATCTCGCTCATACCCTCCATCCGCTCCCGGCAGAACAATGCGTGGCGTTTTTCTAACAATTTTAATTTAAATAAAATGAGAAATTTCCATCCGAGAAAGCAACCGAACAAAACCTAAGCAGAAACATGCACGTAAAAAAGACCGTTTAACGGAATTCGTCACAACTGCCAGACAGTGAGGGAGCCCTGAATCAAAACGGGCTCTAGCCTGACCCAGCCAGTGCTGCTGCTTCGGGATTTTTTTTCCCACTCAGTGCCAACAAGGTGACATATCCAGGCTCTGTCATTACTAAAAGGAATGAATCCCGTCCTTGCAGCGTCACAACCCGTCAGACTCTCAGCAGCGGTCTCCCCTTGAAGAGACACTGAATATGAGCTGAAATACAGTTTTGGAAATGTTTAACGAACATCTAAAATGTTCTGTTTTCATAGGAGTCACAAAGCTGAATGAACAGAAGACCTGCGACAACGTGGTTAAGTGCAACACCAATTTAAGGCTGTGAAAAATTAAAACCGTATTCCAGGCCCCCTGGGTTGTTTGACAGCTCCAGGTGAGGACCTTCAGGAACCCTCTCTCAGGGTTCAGCAGCACACAGAGCCCCATGGTTTGACTGCGGGAACGAGCTGCCGCTCAGGCTCTGCTCCCCTCTGTCTCCCCACCACTTCCTGAATAGGCTTTTAAACAGCCACAGCCACAGGGCCAACACTTCCTTTCCCAAAGCATTTCACACAAGTGGGTGTTTTCTGACACCGTTTCACTTCTTTAGTGGCAATTAGTAACTTTTAACTCAGGCTCTGGACTCTGGAACTCCCAACACCAAGGTAACATTTCATATTCTCCAGCCTGAAGCGTTACAAATTGTTCCACATGTCGATGTGAATTCTCTCCCATGTGGATTCACAGCCATGATTAACTGAGCACCGCAGACTTTCTACCTGGCTCCAACACGTTCCCAACAGCTACAGGCACTGGTGAAAGCTGTGAAACAGCTCCACAGACCATTTCAAGGCGATCTGTGGAAAATAACACCCACCCCCCACCCCCGCCCCCGATCTTCTCCCTTTGCTTGGGAGAGGGCTCAGGATGGCCCTTTGACAGCCTCCTCCTCCTGACACGGTCCAGCACAGAGCTGGGGGATCCCGCCACGGCCCTGCCTCCTGCCCAGCAACGGTGACAGCCCAGGGGGCTGCAAAACCCACAGCAGGAAAGGATGTTTTTATATGGAATGCATTACAGACCCCCTGATCTCCGTGCAGGGCCAACTGGCCAACGTCAGGTGCGTTTCTTGCATGTGACTTTCCTGATGCTTCATGAAACTCCTCCTGAGCACAAATCTCTTCCTGCAGAGGGGACACTGGAAGAGCCCCTCTCCCGAGTGCCGGCGCTGGTGGTTTAGAAGATAATCCTTTCTCCTGTAGCTTTTGTCACACTCGGAGCACTTGTAGGGCCGCTCTCCCGTGTGAGTCATCTGGTGTCTAACAAGCCACGAATGGCAAACGAAGCTTTTCCCACAATCGCTGCAAATGTAGGACTTGCCTCTGCCCTGGCTCTGGTGCTGGCTGGCCGGGCTGCTGCGGGGCGCGAAGTGCTGCCTGCACCTGGTGCAACCCTCTGCCTTGTCCTGCGGATGGTCCCAGCAGGGGCTGGCTAAGGGGTTGTCTGCCAGGAAGCTCTCCTCGCTTTCCACACCCAGCTGCTCCTCTCCGCCGAGGCTGTTGTGGTCACCAAGACCAGTTCCTCCCGCAGGGTTCTGTCCGTGTTCGGCGTGGGTCGTCGCCTCACAGGAGTGGGGAGCAGCCCCCCGCCCCGTGTCCTTCACGCACGGCTGCGAGGGCAGCACGTGGAACACCCTTTCATGGAGACTCTTCTCGCACGTGGGGCCTGTAGCTGTGCCTGGAAACACCTCCCCTTCTTGGGCACCCGGGGGAGTCTGATGATGGTCCTGCTGGCTGGAGTTTCTCTCACATTTGTTGTATGTGCACGGTCTCTTCCCGACACTGTTTTCCTGAGGGCTGAAGAAATCCAAGTGCTCGCCAAACCCTCGGTCGTACCGAGCATCACCCTCCAGGCCATTCCCAGTCGTGGTTGTTTCCATCATTTCTGAATTCCACTGGCTGTCCCATGGCACTCTGGGGCTAGGATCCTTGGAAAACTTCTCTCCAGGTCTTCCTGGTACCTCCGAGTCACGCACGGTGCTTTCAAAGCAATCTGGAGAGTCCCTCTTTGTGTTTTCATCATGTGCTGAAACAGAGAGATGGCAGAGTCTTTCAATTAAGAGCACCCCTCCAAGCCTACAGCCAGGTCACGCTAACGAACAGACCAAGTAAGATGGGAGGTTTTAATACTGAGGGGGAGAGCAAGTACCAGTGTTTCACTGAAACAAAACCTCCGGGAAAATATAGGAGCTTTTTGCAATTTTTTTTTTTTTTAATCTACGCAAAAATCACTAACGCTCCCTGATTTTTCTGTCTCCTGAGACCTGTGACCTTTTCAACAGCTACAGGAAAGACTCCACCGAGCACCATGAAGGACCATGGGTCTCTCAGCAGCGTCAACCAGCTGAGTCCAGCTGAGTCTGCACTGCATAAATATCCTCAGCTCTCATTTCTCTGCCTCGACTGGGACATCAGTGCTCAGACATGTTACCACAGGCCAAGCTAAAGCGTGAACGTAAAAGGCACCGGCTGCTCTACAGTAACTGTCTAAGCACGTCCTCTCACCCCAGTAACTCCAGCTCATGTGTACGCACAGACTGAGTTGGCTGGGAAGCCCACCCTGAGAGCTCTCTCAGAGCCATTGGAACAGGTCTCCCTCGGGAAGGAGTTAGGTGGAGCCCACCCAGCCTTGCACCAGGGCAATATTCTGGATGACCTTCTCCAGTGGGGCAAAACCACTCACGTCAACCGTTCCCACGCGGTTCCCAGCATACTGAGAGTTTATCCCTTGATTTAATTGATATTAACTTCATAATGTGCCATGAATGTTTAAATAACTTACATGAAGAAAAGGAATTCCAGGCTACCAACTGATTTCTACACAAAATATTCCTTCGCACTCTCTCCTCAGTTACCACTTTGAGAGCGATACCGAGCGGTCGCCGGTCCCAGGAGATTGTGTTTAATTATCATCCCCATCCAAATTTGCACACCCATTCCCTGAGGTTAAGCCTTGATCCAAAGAAATCTCCCTCTGTTAACTGCACCTCAAACACGATCCACACCCCAAGCATGCTCTGCACAAAAACTCCTCCAAATGAATCTTAGCCTGTATGTCTCCAAACAGCATGTCCTCAAATTGTTTTGTATCAAAGCTGCCTTCTCCTTTGCTGCAGGATGGCTCTGCTGCTTGGGAACGCAAAGGCAGGGCTCCACGTTCATTGGTACCAGGTTTAGAGACCATCAAGCCAGCTGGAAGCACAAACGTGATCCGTAAAGCCTGAGCACATCATTGTGTTTGCCTAAACAGAAATCCAAGACAGTGCCTAAGGCAGCTTTAGGTCAGCTGAAGGATGAAGGAGCCTCTTCAGCTGACAGCACCTGTAATTTTTGTGAACAAATATTAACTGAGGTTTGTTCCAGTTCTGTCATGGCTTACGTTCTAAGGTCGTGATGTTTAATATAGTATAAAAAACCCCTCTAGATTTACCGCCTAGAAATCTCAACTGAAATCCATCACTGACCTGCACTTGGATCTGTAGAGATTTCTCCTTTCTCCAAGTCTTGTCGTTGAGAGAAGCGTGGCTCCTCCTCCTGTTTAATCCACGATAAAACATCAGTTCCATAAGTCTGAAGCCCTGTTGGGAAGAATTTACACAATTGAGAAACACAGGAGAAAGATGCAAAGCAGGGAAGACTTGTGAACTCACAAAGATAAGAAAAGTGCTGACAAAGCCTCAGGGAAGAGATCACAGGGAGAACCACCCGAGGGGTAATCCCTGCAGTGGGAGGTTTTGATGGGGAATCCTCACCTGTGTCAGGGTCTCTCGGGAGGTCCTCACCCTCTGTGCCTGGCAGCCCCCTGGCACATGCCTCTTTGCCTTGCTTGGTCCGATTTGAAACCTCAGGCTCATAAAACACTTCTTCTGCTAAAGGAGAAAATTCAAGACAAGCGTATTGTTGTGACTGTGTAAGCTCAGGATTTCACATGGGTGAAACCCACTCCAGTTTTGTTTTTTTGTTTTTTCCCAAGCCAAGCTCCCATAAACTCACTTTCTTAACGAAACCTGATGGAAAAATCAAAAAAAAAATCCCACTTTGCTACACTGGAAGCCACTAAAATGACAGTGGAGCCAACAGGTAGAGCTGTAGAGAGTGGGAACAGCCAAGCTCCAAAGCAGAATAGTTTATTTGTAACGCAAAGAGGTGCCACCAAGTGAGCAGGCACGAAACAGGTCCCTGGGCCGCGCAGCTTCCCTGCACAGCAGCAGCACTATGGAGGGGTCGGCGCGCTCTCCTGCGTACACAGAAAACACAGAAGAGGAGGGAAAAAGCAACCTGAAGCCTCTGGAGATGCAGGAGGAGGGACACTGCGGCCCTGTAAGTGAAGGCTGCAGGAGACATGGAGCTGGGGAGCTGCTGCAGTGCAGTCACAGCCCTAATGGCACCAAGCACACACCTCATTCTGGCACTGGTTTTTGCCTCCTGCAAGTTAACCCATCGGCCCCAAAAAGTGACTAATGGCCCGTTTTGCACTGGGTATTTAACCAGATTAGAGCTATCAACCTGAGGGAAGAAGAGCAACGAAATTAAGGGAGAGCAAAACGTTTCCTATTCCGCACTGCACTGCTTGGATGAAAACCAGCCATGTACTCTGCAAACTCCAAAATGGCCGTGAGGAGGGAAAGACGAAATTCCAGCCCTCACCTGTCAGGACTGGAGGCAAGTCTGTTCAAAACTTGTGAGTTTTTTTATAAAAGATTTGGAATACATGAGAAGAGGTGGGGAAAAAAAAATCCTTGGAAATTAGTACCTCTGTTTCATTTTCCCTCCAAGGTATGCAGTTACTCACCTGGGCAGGGCTCTTCAGGAGCTTCTCCAGCCTCCTCCTCCTGCTGATCTGCAGCACACGACTCCTCCTCTTGCTTAATATGGATTATGCTGTCTTCTGTTAACAGGAACCAGTGTCATTTTAATCCCATACACAAAATTATATTCCAATTCTCATCCCATCCCAGGCACAGTGGCTCTGTTCTAGCTCACATTCTAGAGAAAACCTCACTTCAGTTCTAGTTCTTGCTGATCAAGGCCTCTCAAAAAGACCTAAAATACTTGTCACAAAACCCTCAGCAAACGTTTAAGCCTCAGAAACACAAAGTTTCATGTAAGAGTAATGTCCGTCTTGTTGCGGCGCCCATTAGCAAATGAAAACACATTCTCTGTGGCCCCGGGAGAGGAAAGTGCCACTTGAATTCTGGTTTTCAAGGTTTGTTTCTCTTTGGGCTCTGTCAGAGTTATGCCATTCCCTTTTCAGTCGCTTGTGGTAAAATGCACACCACATCTAACCCATCAGAAAAACCCCAGTGGGAGTTGTGAATGAAACTGATTGAAAAAAGGAAAAAAAAAAAATTTGTGAAGTACATCAGGAAAAACCGATGGGCTAATGCTGTACGCGTTACCTTTATACCTCTGGGACACAACTGGTGAACTGGAGGGACACTTCACACGTGTAAAACCGACTACATGGTGCACGTTTGTGCACATGGAATAGGAAGTCGTCCCGATGACCAGCCTTCGGACTGGAAAAGTGAACGTCTGGCTCTGAGAGGATTCCTGATCCCTTTTGGCTCTGAGCGGATCCTGGATCCCTCTGGCAACGCAGACGCGGCCCCACCCCATGGGGCTGTGGGCCTGACCCGTGTCACCACGGGCAGTACAGCACCGGGAGACCCAAAATAAGTGGTGTGATGCCACGCTGCCATGAGAGCAGCGGGGACGAGGTGCCCGATGGCCACGTTTGGGAGGCCACGCTCAACGCAGGGCCCTGGCGAGAGGCCGATGTCCTGAAACGAGCCCGGCTGGTGCGTATTTGGTGCCCCACGTCCCGACGGCCTGCTCGTCCCGGAGCCACTCACCGGGGTCGGTCTCTGCGGGGTCACCTCTGCCGTCCTCATCCTCACAGCTCGGAGCGCACGGCCGGTTCCCACCTTCCGACCGGGCCCGGGCGTCGCGTCCGGGAGCGTCGGGCTCTGCGGGAGGCGTGAGCTGAGGCGCGGGCACGGGTCCCACCGTCGGGGGGGCAGCGGGGACCCGCCGCCT